TTTCCCTATATGCATATAGTAAAAACTTGAAAAAATCTTCTTTTAAAGAACTCAAAGAGCTAGAGCTAAGATATTAAGCATGAAACATCTTCTAATGAGTGTCTACCAAGATTATTCAAATAAAAGCCCTGGGGTCAAAATTGGCCCCGTCCCAGGGGGTCATTGATTTTCCCTATATGCATATAGTAAAAACTTAAAAAATCTTCTTCTAAAAAACCGAAAGAGCTAGAGCTTAGATATTTGGCATAAAACATGTTCTAATGGATGTCTACCAAGATTGTTCAAATAAAAGCCCTGGGGTCAAAATTGGCCCAGCCCCAGGGGGTCATTGATTTTCCCTATGTGCATATAGTAAAAACTCAAAAAAATCTTCTCTTTAAGAACCCAAAGAGCTAGAGCTAAGATATTTAGCATGAAACATCTTCTTATCAGTGTCTACCAAGTTTGTTCAAATAAAAGCCCTGGGGTCAAAATTGGCCCCGCCCCAGGGGGTCATTGATTTTCCCTATATTCATATATTAAAAACTTAAAAAAAATTCTTTTAAAGAACCCAAAGAGCTAGAGCTAAGATATTTAGCATGAAACATATTCTAATGGGTGTCTACCAAATTTGTTCAAATAAAAGCCCTGGGGTCAAAATTGGCGCTGTCCCAGGGGTTATTGATTTTCCCTATATACATAGAGTAAAAAGTTAAAAATCTTCTATTAAAGAACCAAAAGAGCTAGAGCTAAGATATTTAGCATGAAACATGTTCTAATGGATATTAACCAAGTTTGTTCAAATAAAAGCCCTTGGGTCAAAATTGGCCCTGCCAGGGAGAGGGGGGAGGGGGCAAAAGTCATTGTTATTCATTATTTGTGTATAGTAAAAACTTAACATCATGAAATATCTTTTAATGGGTGTCTTCCAAGTTTGTTCAAATAAAAGCCCTTTGGTTTAAACTTGCCCGGCCCTGGGGGCCTATGTTCAGGTGAGCGACCCCAGGGCCATCATGGCCCTCTTGTTTATGTTGTGATAATTGGTCGTAAAACGAACAATGCGTGGACTCGCTTTAAAGGGCCGCTAGACCGTGATTAACTGCGTAATAGATAAATTGACACTACGTCAATATGTTCCGGTCGGAAGCACATATCGAATAGTTTATAAAGGGCAATATAGCTTATTATATTTTGTTACTGTTTGCAAAATATGAAACATTGATATTTTGTTGTATTTGCAGACTTATTCGAAAAATATATTTTATTTATTTCATCTTGTAACTTTCATTTATTTCGATTGAGCATTTCACCAAAGTTTTGTTTCATAATTGATCAACTTAATCATTTAGCGATAATCTCATGCAATGAGACTATACGATTAAAAAGTTAAAACAAAATTGTTTTATAAATGCCAATCAATTTTTAAGCCGATATTAAGCAAACAGTACTTACACTGTATTCTAATACCATTTCACTATCATAGCTTTATTAACTTTATTGCAATGAAAGACCCTTTTTAAAGCATTTGTTTTTTAAATGCGATAATAGTATAATTCTCAATAAAGGACTTGAATTTTCTCAATAAAGGACTTGAATTAAGTACCTGTGGCGCATTATTACTAATCAGAACGCAATCTTTGTATTTTTACTCTTTTGCGTTTTAAATATGTAAGAAATAAGAAAATCTGTGCTTTAGTCAGATTGATGTTATACGGACTATTACATTGTCTATTTTGTTTGTTTGATTTTACGGTACATCAACACAGTGTGGTGATTTTGGCTGGTGTTAAAAACTTAAAATAACACCAGAGTTCAAAACTACCTCATTAGCTGGAGCTAAGAGATGCATAGACTCCAGTAATTTAAACCCATTTAGTCGCCAATTACGATCACCCATGGATAAATGGTGGCTGCAATTCTGATGCATCCACCCGTACAGGCAACCCCTTAGCCACAACTAGAATTACAATGTCTTCACTGTACAGATAAACAGATTCCCATTGCAATATTAAATTCAAAAAGAAGAAATAAGACAAATCATGGACGTGGTTTACCGCAAAAAGCCACAAAAATGTATTTGGTTGTGCTGTTGCATATCATTGACAAACGAAGACACATATTTGGCTATTATTTGGTAACTCATTCTTTGGACGAGCATAATTGTGTCTTGTTTAGCGAGTATTATGTTTAAGTACTTGTCATACAATTTGATATCTAATGACACCATATAATACCCGCCAAAGGATGACAAATGTTGTTTTTTTATACAGTACACTGATTTATCTATATTGGATACGTTCACGTATAAGTTTACATACATATAAAAGGTGTATTATGATTACATTGCGTGTTGTCTTCAATAAATATAAAGTGTTAGGGCTAGCTTTTAAATAACAAACGCTTTTCTGAAATTATTCACTTTTAAATATACTACTGTAGTACATGTATAATTAATGAACCTCAATATTTTATGTCTTTTAAAGCCATATCACTAATCTCTTTACAGAATTAATGATGATCGTAGAAATTGTTTATGTTTGTTTACAGATTAACTTTGTTGGTTTTCATACTTTAAGTCTTTAAGGTTCAAGACGTTGATTGTTTTACAATTAAGTGAACCATGTCTAAACTGTTCTACAATTTAAACAAATGTTTCCATTTTTTATCGTATGTTTTGATATTATTTGCAATAAAATATGAATGCTAATACGAATTCGACGTTTATTGGACATAAAACAGAGTACAACGATTTTAGCCACAAACTACAAACAAATACAGATATATACAATGAAAATACTAATAGGAACGAAACACGTACATTCGAAAAAATTGAGATTAAACAACAAGTCATTTTTTTCACCAGTTACTCGGCTTGTTTCAAGGCGGAATCAGAGAAAGAAAAGTTGACTTTATAAATCTAAACATTGAGATTGTTAACAAACCAATATTTAAAAGCGGCCACAGAGTACATGGATTTACATCAATCTAAAGGAAACAAAAAACGCTTACCTGTAATAAAAATTGTAGTGTCCTCTTACCAAGTACCACAGGAGGCTTACACAGTCATACACATCACGCATTCAATTTTCTAGACTAACAGCCAGAAAACGTCATATGCATGTGTATTATTTTAAGCGATCATAGTAAGACTAATAATATCATCAACTTTTTTATTTTCCTAATTTTAATTCTTTTAGTTATTTACTCATTACCATTTAAAATATTATCAAGTTTCAACTTAAACAGCAGGTAGATAAGGTAGTTTGAACTGATTACATGCACGGTACAATGTTACAGTGATAATTAACCGTTTATTTCATTTTGTATTGGACACGTGATTTAACGTGGTATATAACGGCTCTATAAATCTGATGAAAAATTGTCACACTACACTACTAAAATAGCGCGTCTTTCACTTATTTAAAACTAACAACATCAGCATATAATTTATACTGTTTCAGTTCGTCTATAGAAGAGATGCGTTTTATATTAGTTGAACCGTTTCTTGTGACTTTGATAAGTAATAGTCTGGGTCTTTCAGACACTCTGTTACACTAAGAATGAACAAGTTTTTACTGGTAAATACAGAAGCTGTAATGTTATTATTTTTATAATCACTGTTTATGTGTTTCTCGATTACATGTTTTGAAAAAGTAATACACATAATGTTCGCTCACAAAAGTTAAATTTTTAAATACATTACGTTAACAATTTAGAAACATTTTTATAAGGGTTAGGTACAAATGGGGACAGCTGCATTAAATGTGCAGTGTGCTGTTTCATCTTTAAAAATCAAACAAAACAACCGTTAATTATCATTAAAAATCAGCATTGTTTCAAACTAATACTTTTTGGTGGCCGTTACTTAATTGTAATATTGCGTGTTATATCAGAAACAATTTAACAGTGACCACAAATTTCTTATATGCCTTTGGCCATTTTTTTTTATTTCGATACTTTTGGCGCTAAAAATAATAAGGATTGTATGATTTTGGGTAACTTTCAACTCTTAAGCTCTTAAGTCACATTTTGCAATATTTAATCAGTATCTGCTATAAATTTATTTTTTTTATCTAAATATGTAAATTTTGGCAACAATTGTAAATTTGGCATAATACAAATCATTTCAATCTCATTTTGCAACGGTTAATTATAATTTAGTAAATTCAACGGATCTACAACCCTCAAAAACTATTAATATCTTGGTTATGTGCAATGATTACAAAAACAATCAAACAAAAAGAATAGTATGTTATCAAGTAGTACTGATGGAAAACTTGTACTTTTTTGTTTATTTGATGTTTAACATTAAAAACATTATTTCAGACATATAAAGGCGACCAGTTACCTAAAGAGTTTTTCTTGGGTTTCTTTCTTTATTAGTATCTGATAACTATCAAACTTTTGGGGGACATTGCTAAAGTCTAACTTCGTGCGTTAAATGAAATAAATGTGGATTTTCATATTTCCCGCAAAAATGTCATCCATGCAAACATTACATGATAATTATGCATACAGCTGTTTGTAAATAAACACGCCTTGGGTCAAACTCAAATTGATTCAATATTGATAAGCTAGATATATGTTGTTGATAAATATTTACAACATAAAATTAGTAGCGAGGGCCGTTGCAGCTTGCGAAACATTTTAAAACATTGTGTATTGTTGTAAAATATCAATTTTCCATGTGTTAGACACCAAGTTTTGTATCTCAATATATGTATATTTTTTTAACAAAGATCCTAATAAAAGAAAAAAGAACTTATATTAACGAATATATACAAATAGGCTTTATTTTAATATACAACAGTTCACATCTATTGGTTGTTTAATTTTTAAATTGTTGATGTCACTCTGTTATTCGATTTTCATGTCAGAACACGCATCAAATGATAAAGAAGTATCGTACAGCATCAAAAGTCTGTTTACTGCCTCGTAGGCCTCGTAACGTATATTGTAAAAAGGTACGTATTTCCTCAATATGTAGTGATGAAACAGGTAAAAAGCGGTAAGGATCATGTTCACTTTGGTGCGAATAAATTAGCGCCTGTTTCCGATCCGAAACCAAAGGAAGGAGCGGAGTTACTGTTTGTTCCAAATCCAAAAGAAGTTCTATATTTGTGTACATTACTAAATAAGCCCCCAGTTCCCAAATAGGCTTGCTTTTCCGGGCCTATCATTTTCATGTACTTGCAATTTGGTGACCATTTCAAATGTTCTGTGGAGGGATTATCGTGTGGTTCCCACTGACTCAATTTTACGCCACACCGGAAACAAACGACAATATCCGCCTCTTTGGTATAGTAAAATCCGGCTCTGGCTAATTGGTATTTATCTGGTAATATCTGTTTCGGATATGTGTCAAAAGTCTTCAGTCTGTTTTCGTAGTATTCCATTTTCTATTGACACCGAGCCAACGGAGTCAATACACACCATGGATTCTAAATTGTGTGAGGACATATCAGTTTAAAGCTCCTAAAATCTCTGTCAAATTACTCTTTTAACAACTTAATATTAAAAAAAAAATATTGAAGTCGTACAAAATGTGTTGTTTTTTTCACTATATTAATAAATAATTTCAATAAACCAAAAACAAAAATATAAACATCTATGAAATTATTACGTCCCAAGTTTCACTCCCAATATATATATATGTACAAAAAATTTACAACAATGGACGGACCTATGGGCATTCAGACACGATTACGTAAGTGTCTTATACTCATTGTATGTATGTACAAATTGCGTGACAAAGGGGCGGGGCCTAGGGGCAGCAGACATGATTATGTAATCACCTGTCAATCATGACCCCAAAGTGGCCCATATGTAGTAATAGCTGCCTATACAATCAAACTAAAATAAATTCTAATAAAAAGAATAAGGAAAGTGAAACACACGAAACAAAGTGGGTCAGGTTTCTATAATTTTATTTAAGACCTACGTTTCGGCTATTCAATAGCCTTCATCAGAGTACAGATATATCAGAATTTTTCATCTAAGGTACAGTTTAGAAGATATATGGCAATGACCTTGAAGACCCAGTTCTGGTTCATACTTCTAAAATAAATTCTGTATGATCTGAAACTTGGTCTTCAAGATCATAGCCATTTTCTTGAAGGGGATAAAACACTGGGATATGGATGAACCCCAATGCATTATGGGACACATTATCTACATAAATAGAACTTGGTCTGCTGTTGGTGACAGATTTTACCCATGCAAACACTCATCGCTGATCTTCACCTGCACTGGTTACATAGGTAGTATCTTTTATAGCCATCAGGCTAAACACAACAAAGTAAATTGGAAAAGCTATACCATATATGCCATTTCATGTATAGATTCTGGTCAGACTTTACAGATGTGCAAGTATTTATAGGTATAATTTTACCATTTTAATAATAAATATACATATATTAATAATAAATATACATATCAACAATATCACTTTCATTTACAAAATATATCACATTTTATACATGTATTGGCAAGAAAACGGCCTAATTTGAATATGATTCTATGTAAAATGTCAAGTAGTTTTGCTATAAAAGCTCTAGCATTTGTGGAGACATGATTATCCTTGTCTGAAGCAGAATTAGGTGACACAAATTGTTCAGCGATTATTCTCTGATTATTTTCTCTTATATCCTTAAATGTTGATGATATATTTCCCAATGAATTTGCCTGTCGTTTAATCAGGAGCTATCCTTTGTATTATTTCAAGACAAGCTTAATTGAGTCACATTGATGAATTTCCATGAACATGCAAGTTGGCCTATTTATAAATATTGGTGCAATAAATCAGGACTAGATGCCCAAAGGCAACGTTGATCCCGCTGTCACATCTGACCTTGAGGTATGACCTTCAGCTTTTCCTACTCAAACTGTTTTTGCGTGTGACATTAGCCGTCTCATGCATGATGATGAACATTTGTGTCAGGTTATTTGAAATTCCATTAGCTGTTTTGAATTTGACCTTAAAGTATTACCTTGACCTTTGACCTAGCCACATGGTTCTTGCGCACTACACGCCGTCTCATTATTGTTAACATTTTAACCCTTACCATGCCAAATGGACTCATCCATCTTTAAATCTGGACAAAACCACTCATCATTTTTAAGGAAAATTTGAAAATATGTACATGTATTGACTGGAGACCAGTGTATAGCACAGTGAGTGCCAGTTGACCTTGGTCTGCACTGATTGCATGGGTAGACGACAATGAGTTCCCAACAGCAGACTTGGGGAGTTAAGCATCACTGTTTGTTAACTGTGGAAGAAGAGAGGTGTAGAAGGATCCAACATCTTACCCTGAGGTCAATGGTTTCTCCTCCAGGGCATTATTTAAGGTAAAAACAGGCTCAAAGGTGAACCATTTGAGTTTTATGACCCTCAGCTGAAAATAAGATTCTTGACATGAATTAATACACATTGACTTCATACCACAGAGTTATTATAAGGACAATTATTTCATTCATATTAATATTATCGTGTCATTTTACAAGTGCTGAATCTGTGTTCCTTTCAATATATTACAAGATAGTTGGAAACTTTCCAAAATGATACAATTTATCGTAATTTCTTATTCTTGTTTATCTCTAATTCATGCTTATTATTTTTTTCTAAATCTTATTTAGGCTTTTTGTATTTAAGTTTATTTCTATGTTTTTGTAAATTCGTTTATGCTTTTTAGTCATATCTCGGTGGTTGGTCCACTTTAACAGCTTTCCTGGATAATTAACCAGTAATTATCTTCCTGGATAACTAACCAGAAATTACCAATTTCTCTGCAAGTGCACTTTAATTAATTATCCTACATCATTTCTGAATCAGCTGAAAGAAACAAATGTCATTAGACTTGATGTTTAAGATCAATAATTATCACAGAGAAATTTTGCCTCACCCAAGGATCGAACCAGAAACCTATGGACTCTCTCACAGTGTTGAGCTTAAGGCAGGCATAATTTTGTATTAAGAAAGAATAAAGTTGCCCATATTATATCTTGGCAGTAACATATCAAAAATTTGTTCACACCATTACAGAATGGAGACAATGCAATTTTCAAAGAAAATTACAAATTATTTGAAAAAAATGGTATAATTTACAATACATGTGCTTTATATCTTGCATTTTCTTTCAGCACAATGCAGTCACTAGGTTTAAACCAATAAAAGTTTAATTCCCCCTCCCCCATTTGAAAAATCATAATGTTGCTAAGTGTCTGATAACTTATTAAGTTTGATTTATCATTCATAAATATACATTTTTAAAAGCCCTTAGTCAGCACTTTTTTTTAAATATGATATGATATGAATATTACCTAGCTGTTATCTTTCAAGATATGTATATTGGAAGTTTGATATATATATATATCATATACCTTAGTGCAGTAATGGGTTAAGTCCTTCTATATCTAATAGGAGTTAACCAGTTATTACACTTAGGTTATTTCCTTGTCTATTTGTCCTGATAATATTTGTTCAGCTTAATTACCTATAAAACATGACTGTTGATTTTTATATCTATATCGATACCTCAATAGAAGTACTCATATTGTCACCTTTAAGTGCAGGTTAAGTCCTATTAAATTATATAAGGAGTTAACACATTAATTAACATTTTATGGGGAAAATAGAATGACAATATTGTTTGTATATATATGAGGATTAATTATTGTTAACAAAATAACTGTAAAGGCAGAATTATAAAAATAACTTTTGAAAATGAATATTTCATTTGTGCAGTCTTCCTATGTCAGGCCAGTTTATTTTAAAATTGAAATTCTTTAAATTATAAATGGACTGCTCCATCTTCAAAGCAGGTAAAGTCCATTTCATAATTTGAGCAGGATAACGGGTTTTAAAAGAGAAAAGTTATTTGAATATGCATAATATGTCAAAGGAACCCACACACCAATATCAGTTTATACAATCAACCAAACCCCATAGCCTGCTGGTGACAACTGAATCTAACCATGCCACCCATATTAAACAAGATCTTATCATGGTATGCAGTGTTAATTTTCTATTTTCAATACTTCAAAATTTCCTAAAAAAATGATGAAAGGCCTGGTTTAATCCAGACTGAAAGATTGTCAAATCTATTTAAAATAGTTAGCATGGTAATGGATTTTAATTAATAACATTAATTTAGTTTTATCTTCTAGTGAGCGAACTAGCATTAAAAATATCATGGTTTAACACACTGAAATATACTTCACGCCCCCCTTCTTAAGTTAATCCTACGGCTTCGCATTGAATCGCATGATTAAATATTTTCATTTTGTACTTTTGTTATTTTTGAATGGACGTATTTAAAGCAATTGAAATTTCTCAATAGGCATATTACACTAAGTCAATAACGTATCCACTGAGTTTAAGCAACTGCAGCGTATTTATTGAATGATTTTCAAAAGTTTGTATTAAAATTTATATGTAATGTTTAAATACTCCAAAAGACAAGAAAAAAACGTCTGTCTGTACTCAAGGAAGATTTTTAAAAAAAAAAAATCTAAGCCGCAACAAAATAACAAGGGTGCCATTGTGATTTTCGCAAGATTTATTTCTCAAGTGCAAATTAAATCAGCTTTATTTTGAAGGAGATACAAAAAAATTGAGGGAAAAAAGTAAAATAATTATACATAATCTTGAAGTATTTTCTCCAAGTTCTTTAAACAGACGATTGGCACCTTTCAACAATCGCAGCAAGGCACCAATTATCATGCAAAAAAATGCATTTTAGCATTATATTTATTTATGCTATGATTGTTAAAGGTGCAGTAAACATAATTATATATACAAAATCATTATCTTATTGTAATAATTTTGAATGATTATTAAAGTTTACAGAACTTTGAAGCACCTGGAGAGAGATAAAATACTATAGACAGTTTTAATATTTATTCAGCAGCATATTTACCTAGTAATAATAAATAGTTTGTCAATTTCACAAAAAAAACCTGTAAAATTTAGGATTTATTGATAAATTTCTTAAGACATCAACACAGCATAGGGTATGTGAAGGACTTTTCCATTTTGTTGGTTTTCAAAAAGATTACAAGAATAAATATCAATAAAGATGATTGGCACTTTACTTTCGACAATTGCAACAAAGCAACAATTATCATGCATATGTATTAAAATTTATATATACAATGTTTAAATACTCTAAAAGATAAGAATAAACGTCTGTCTGCATGTACTAGAGGAAGATTAATGGTCCCAGAACCTGTATATCAATGGACTAATGGTTGTATAATGAGCAAAAGTGTAATAATCAATCATAAGCCCCAGTGACCTTGACCCAAATGACCCCTAACTCCACCTAAACTTAGAGGACTACTCTAAGCATTTAACTTCCTAATATCAATATTTTTTTGATTGACATCAGTCAAT